TTCACATCAGAATTGGGATATTACTAGTGACCATTGACTCACAGACTTCTTGTTTGTTATAGCCTTAAATATGATAAAATGTTTCTTATATCAAGGAAATAAATAAAACACATATAAATTAATCAAATACTAATATTCAGTTGTAAATCTGTTTCATTTGATATTGGTGAGAAATAAGCATTTTTCCGCTTTTTGTCTGAAACATATGTTCCCCCAATCGTCGCAAACCGCAGCCAAAATGTACGATCCTCTCCCCCGATTCTGGTCGTGGTTGAACGAGCAGATAATTCTTCGTTGCTAATCAAAAAATTGACCAATGCGAGTAAAGCATAGTCGGATGAAGACTTTCTTGTATACTGTTGACGCCAGTTCTTGTATTCAATTGCGATGAAAAACTTGCCACTGACTAGATATAATGCCACCTTAGAGAGGCGTTAATATTCAAGATTAGGTCAATTACGACACATATTGTGATCAAGCAGTAGCCTGGTTCCCTGTCCCTGTTTTGCTTCGTATTCTCCGCGTCACTAGGGCCAGGTGGAGTACAATGGATTCAGGGCGAATCTGCCCTGAATCTTATTCCATTGTGACGTCCAATATGGCTGCGCTTCCGGTGAAGACGTTTATTATGACGTCGTTTTTTTACGTCGTCGACGTAATGTGTCATTGTTACGTCGATATTTATTTCCGTGGTTAACGGCAACGGCTCAAAAACCCACGACTGCATTGTTCTGACCAATCAAAGGAAGGCATAGTGTAATCCACCTGGCTCTCCTGCCTTGGCAAGGGTGAGCCAGGGGACCAGGCTAATCAAGCAGCAACGGGTAGGAGAGATCTACGAGGGTTGTTCGAAAAGTTCGTGGACAACTCTCATATCTTTTTTATTTGACGTCATATGTTATCCAATTGTGGTAGAAATATTTTAACAATAAATCCAAATAATTCGTATTATTTTTTTTCAAAATATTTCTATTTATTCCAAACTTATGCAGATTTTAAAAATGCAAAAATCAGATCGCGGAGCAGGTAAAAATTTAGTAAATTACAGACAATGCTCTGAATAATGTCTGTAGTCATACTCTCTGTAATGGGAGCAAAAACGAAAAGCAATCTAGAAATTCAGATAAAGAATTGTTTCATCGATTCGTGTACCAAATTATGGTTTTTATATTTTGCTTTGTTGAAAAAAAATCACATTCCGAAGATAAGTAGTCCTTATTGAGAACGACAAAAACGATGACGTTTCAGAACGTCACGGAGCAGCGGATAACGATGCAATTTTGCGTTTCACTCTTGAAAAATCCCGAATAAACTCTAAAAATGTGGGAGGAATCAAGAAAATATGTCACAAACAAGTCGTACATGCGTGTACAATTAGTGCAGGCAGAATTTGAGTGACAGAGACTCTGAATCGGATGAGGATGATCTGTGAAGAAATGGTTTAACTGTAAAATTCTGAACAAAATTTAAAAAGTTAGAATGTCAAGAAAAGACATAGGCGCATTAGAGTTGCTTATCCTGTGAAAGCAGAGTTAAGTTATTAAGAAATTAAAACCTTATAAAAGGAATTATACAACGAGAGATACTCTTTAAAAAGAAATTTCAAGTATTAGAAAAGGAATTTAATGAATGGACATTGTATTATACTGTGTGAAATGTGTAGGGATAGTAATTTTTAGAAATTCTCGACGCTATGTTTTGACGTTACATTGCCGTTAAGTGTGCTCCGCGGGTACAAAACATGTTGATTTTAAAATGAAGTAAATTGATTTCTGTTAAATCGAATTAAATGAAACTATACACATCAACAAAACAAATATTTTTGGATATTACTATGTGCTTATTTTAAATTTCTAGTGAGTAATATATAGAGGATTGACATCGTCCACGAACTTTTCGAACAACCCTCGTATATATGTGGACTCCGGATCGTGGCTTGAGACGATGGTTCCTCCCCCTGTGAAAACACAAACTTTGGCATAAATTTGAAAAATGACAGTCCAAATTACCTGTAAAAAGGATTTTTTGTTTCACAGGGAGGGGAGGGGATTTTAAAAAAATATTTTCCCTTTTCCGTTAATTTCTATTGTGAAGAACACAAGTTTTACCAAAATTATAGAGTTATCTATCTTTGTTTTCCAAAATAAGTAAGGTTTTTTGAAAATCTATGTAAACATCTATAAAAATATTACATGTGTAAAAATCATTCGAATTTGTTAACTTTTGAAAATTGACTTGGAGATATGGGCGGGAGAACAATACTATCGTTCGCAGTTCTTGTCGTAATGTATAGTTATTGACTTGATATGAGGGTAACATTGATTTGTTGAACTTTCGGAACTTTCCTGAGGCCACGTCAGACCAAAAAACATATGTTAACTTCCTGGTTTTCTTAAGAATTAATAGCCATTCTCTGTAACCACTTAAACTTTGTTGCCACGCATGGTCACCGATTTTGATGAATCTTCACCCATGCTTAGTACTTGACACCAGAAACAAATATCAAACAAAATTTCGTTGTTATGTGTCTCGGTTGCTATGGCAACAGCCGGAAAAATTTGAAAAATCAAGATTTTCAGCCATTTTAAATCTTGACTGTGGCTTAATAAAAACTAGAAAAAGCAAACAAACCATTCTAACAAAAACATGACACCTTGATGTCACTTATACTGTAAAGAAACTGTTTAGAATATATCTCTAAGTAAGTGGTAACCAAGGGTACATTTGGAATACATTTAAAATGCTGAAATATGCTGAAAAACACTCCGTATTCACTAATGGTAGGTGTTACATGCTCAAACTCAATCAACGACTTAAGAAAAGCAATGAAAATGTTTGACCTTAAGTATATAAGTGTAAGCAATATTATTCTGTAAATAACTTTTATGGTTGCCATGTTAACACAGTGTAACCATGCAAAACCAGTAACTAAGATTGGGTTAATGCTACTGTCTTGAGGAAAAACATGAAAATTCAAGACTGGCAAATATGCATCCTTAGGACCTTGCAACACCAAAACCATAAGAAAAATTGGGTATAATTGCTACTTTGCAGTGTTACCATGGAAACAAAGTACCAGTGCTTAAAAGTGAATTATTTTTCGCTGCATTAAGAATTAAATTGCCATTTAATCAAGAAACAAATTAAAGGACTCAGCTTGAATAGTACTTATCTGTTAGAACTGAAGTTGAATATCATATGTTGATAAAATTTGATGAAGAAAACAACACTGTTGCTATGGTTACCAAGAAGGGAAAATGTTCGATTTTGTGAACTTTATATCAGTATTAAACCCTGTGTGCCAACTTCTTGCATCCACTTAGAGATTGGATGATAGTCAAAATTAAAAGGCAGGTTAGCTGTTAATAAATATCAATCATAAAAGTTTTGGGAATCTACATTTAAGGGTACGTATCCAAGGAAAGAAAATATTTTTCAGGTTTTTAAGCATATATTTTCTGCTTATTTCCATAGCAACGCTCTATTTAAAGAATCTAATCTGAATTTTTTTAAATGGGAAAATAGGAGCACACCAACATCTTTAAAAATTGATCATTAGTTATGAGGAAATGTGCTTTTTTAAAAGATAGGATCAGATTTAAACATACAGAGTGTTACTTTGACGACTCTCTGTGGTATAATAACCTTGGCAACCATTGCCAACCAAAATAAAATATCGTATTTTGTTCTTGGTATGTGATTCAAGGCTCTTTTTTCTCTATTATTTGGTCACAATTCATCCTATAATTGCTTTTTATTTTTACGTGTATGACTTTATAAAATTAAATGAATATTTTTTTTTACTTTTGAATACTTTGTTACCATAGTAACGTATGTAATAGTTGATTTACCAAAGATGTTTATCATGCATTTGAGACATCTGACCTTCAACTTTTGGAAACAATCATTGCCAATTGTTTGCTTTGTCGCAAATGTTATCTATGGGGCTCTAAACATGTTAAAAAATGCCATTTTTCGAACTTTAAGACATGTTGCCATGGTAACTATAAAACATAGCAACCAATTTTTGCCTGATTTCAGTTTAGGGTATCAATGACTTTTATTATAGAGAGTTTGGAGAAATTTTGAGACTATGCGTGCCACAGCTCCTATATAAAATTTCAAATCATTACAGAGAATGGCTCTTAACAACAACGTTTAAGGTTCTCTTGGAAATGGACTAAGTTGGTCACATGGTCAAATCCGGTGAAACCTGAAGGGCTTCTCGGTAGATTTGATCGTGTACCAACTAAGTTCATTTCCCAGTGAACTTTTAAAATATTGTTTAGCTTTATATTTACATTTAAGTCGAATTAATTATGAGTAAAACTTCATTTATTACAAGAACGGGTCGCCGTTTTGCTACGTTGTGACGCACAATGACTTAGAAGTTGTTTGGTTTTTAAAGTTAGTAGTGCAAAATTGAAATTATCTTGTGTTTAATGTGTAGAAAAAAAATATATGCTGACATTTCGCTTTTCTATATACATATGTAATTGCAAGATGGTTTGCGGGCTGCTCAGGTATCATTAGTAATAGGAATGATAACGACCGTCCTATCAATGCCTATTCGATATTCGGAAAATTTCATTTTATATGATTGTTATTGGACATATATTTCACATTTATAGCATGATCGTGAGGGAATATGATATTTCTTAACTCAATAATCTGCATGTTTTCCGAAATTTCTTCATGCAATAAATTGTTTATTATACAGGTAAAAACTTAAAAAAAAAAAAATTAAATGTTAACTTTAAATTCGATATCTCTGTCAGATTCATTTTTCATTCCAGTTTGATTTTTGTGAGATGAACTTGTACTACTCTCGGCAGTTTTCGTTCAGCGAACAATAATTATTGTGGGGAAATGCACTAAGCATCCAAAGAGGTTGAAAAGCATGTCGTCGACAGGGAAATATGGAGTTTTATGCCTCTGTCATGTGATAATCTATCAGAACCAATCAGATAAGGCATTGTATAAAATAATTATAGCGAGGTAAATTATTATAATGTATGCTAACATGAATTAAAAGTTTTTCACTTGCATTTAGAGATGTTTAACTGTATCTATTACCCCATATCTAAGTACTTTGAAACGTTATGTTCGCAAGTTCTTTGTAATAATGCTCATGAGGGTCATTAGCTTGCTCTTGATTTAAAGTGGTATAGGCTGAATTTGAAGGATTGCTTGTTGCAACAGTCTCTGGATTTCTTGTCAAACTGTCACTGTTTGCCTCAGACCTCTGCATTCTGTCAAAAAGAGATTAGATTTAAAATATATGGAAAACGATTGTTAAATAAAATATTAAATATAGAAATTGATTTGTTTTATATATTCTCTTTATTTTTATTTTTTTACTTATTTGATAATGGAATTTTAAGTACTTAAAAGCATCAGAAATTTTATCGTATTGTCGTTCAGGTAAATCATAAGCTTGCTCTTGATTTAAAGTAGAATATGCTGAATTTGAACGGCTGGTTGTTGCAACTGGATCTGGATTTCCTGTCAAGTTGTTAATAGTATCGGCAAGACATTGCATTCTGCAAAAGAGTAACTAAACTTCAAAATTATTAAATAAAAGTCTTAAAACAAATATTTCGTACTTTGAAAAGATTAATATTTTTATCGATCTCAATTTAAAAAGAATAATATTGAGGAATTTTATGATTATATTTGTAAACAACAAATATGCATTATCCCCTTATACCTTTTATTAGTCTTCATGTTGTATATAGCTTGCACAATGACGATCACGGTTAATGTGATAACCAATAGTCCACATATAATCAATCCAATCAGAAGTCCCTGATTATGGAATGATGCTGAAAAATGGGAATTTACATTCATTAAACTTATTAATTGAATGGTATTTGCATTTATTGTTATATATTTACATTTCCAATGTCTTTGTCCGAGTTTAAATTAAAATAGTCAATGTACTTTATTTCCCCATCAATGTACATGTACATGTATTGCTTCATCAAAAGGAGCGGCTTAAAATAATCACGTACAGGGCGGGACAAATAGCTAAACAGAAGCAAGGCCTGGGGCACGTGGATTGGCGGAATCAAAAGCATGTAAATATAAGGATTTTTTCAATTTCATGACGATGATCAATCGATTGGTAATGGAATTAATTATTAATAATAAATAATATAATATTTATCCATGTAAAAGTGAATTTCTCTGTGCTTTCTATATTAATACTTCTTCACTTAGGGCAGTTATGTTAGTTTAAGAGTTGTTTTAAAATGTGCTTTATAAATGATAATTAATTTCATTACAACGTGTATTGATAACAATCCTTGGTTAAAACTAATGTCTAAAAATAACTGTATTTCACTTCTACTCTCAATGACCCTGTAGTGTAGGGCAGCGCTGCGAGAATTCCATCAGCATCGAAAGCAAGTTTTAAGACTTGCATAGAAAGCCGAGCGGTCTAGCGCGCTGTTCCTGTGCTGCTAGGAGACAGATTCCGAAGGTCGAGAGTTCAACCCCGGGCTGGGCCGGAAGTGGGTATCCATGTAAAATTGAATTTCTCTTTGCGTTCTATTTTAATACTTCTTCACTTAGGGCAGTTATGTTAGTTTAACAGTTGTTGTAAAATGTGCTTTATAAATAATATCTAATTTCATTACAACGTGTATTGATAATAATACTCTGTTAAAACTAATGTCCAAATAATTGTATTTCACTTCTATTCTCAATGACCGTTTAGTGTAGGGCAGCGCTGCGAGAATTCCATTGGCATCGAAATTAAGTTTTTAGACTTGCAAAGATAGCCGAGTGGTCTAGCGCGCTGTTCCTGTACTGCTAGGAGACAGATTCCGAAGGTCTAGAGTTATGATTTAGATATATAATACTTGTATACAAAATTAGATCAATTGATTTTTCATTTTTATCACATTTTCATGTGAACACTATTTTTAGCTCTACTGGTCAGAGACCAGAAGAGCTTATGCGATAGTAATGCGTCCGGCGTCCGTCCGTCTGTCTGTCTGTCTGTCTGTCCGTCCGTCTGTCTGTCCGTCTGTCTGTAAACAATTTTTCAAAACGCTACTCCTCCTACAATTTTAGTCTGATTTCAATATAACTTGGCACACAAGTAGACTACACTAAGATACATAAAATAGTGCATCGGTTTTTGATTTCAATGGACGGTATTGCCATGGTTACTAAAAATAGAATTTTCTGAGAAATTCCTTTAAAATGCTACTCCTTCCACAGTTTTGGTCTAATTTCAATATTACTTGGCACACAAGTAGACTACACTTAGATACATAGAATAGTGCATCGGTTTTTGATTTCGATGAACAGAGTTGCCGTGGTTACTAAAAATAGAATTTTCAGAGAAATTCCTTTAAAACGCTTCTCCTTCTACAGTTTTGGTCTGATTTCAATATTACTTGGCACACAAGTAGACTACATTAAGATACATTGAATAGTGCATCGGTTTTTGATTTCAATGAACGATGTTGCCGT